ACCCCATTATAGGGTGACACATAACACATAAAGCGCAGTCGAGGTAGAGTAACCCCACCGGCGCGTGGTTGTATGTAATTGCATATTCGTGCGCCAGTTACGCTTTGTACGCCGATTAAACGCTCACTCGCTGAATGCCGTGCTGCTATGCGTACATCGAGCCATCAAAATTGTTTCCTGCGCCGCGTAGTTAGTGTATATATATATATATATATATATCAGAAGTAGATTAATAGGGTGCATATTTTATATATTATGTGTATATGTGATATATATGTATATGTGATATATATGTATATGTATATATGTATTGTATGTATATGTATATATATATGTATATATATATGTATGTGTATATATTGTGTAGATATATATGTATCTCTTGATGTATATATATCTGATATATATGTGTATCTGCATATAGGAATGCCCGAACCGAAGAAAGGCCAGCGTATTAGGACGGCGTGCAGACGCCGGAGAAGCACACATTAGTTGATTACATTACAGCACGGACAACGCGTCGCCACAGGGTTACTCAGTCAGTTACTCAGTCAGTTTGAGTATGTGAATGCGACCGCGGCCTTGTGTCGGAGCGGCTTGCAGGGCCATTACTCAAATTAGAATACACTTTTTAAATCGCGACGCATTTGGAGAATAATAATCAACAATATTGAATATAGAGAGTAATAAAGGAATAGCTTTACGATACGTATATACAACACATATGTTATTACACACAGATGTTATTTTATTTTTACAATACATTTGTTTATGCCTCTAGGTGAATTCAGTGCTAGCAAAACGGGCGACTATTTGTATTTTAGCTTTATAGATAATTCGTTCACCTTGAAAACCCATTACTAAACTACATTGCTTTAAAGACTATGCCTATTCGTCGCCTTCGGCATATATGTAGAAGCACAAAGTGCAGAAATCTCTCGCAAACGTATACATCCACGCGCCATTGTTGCGCTGGTAACGTCGGCAAAACCTGGTCCGCGTATCGCGCGGTAAAACCTCTACCGCCGCACCGCTGACAACCTCACCCGCGAGTACTAGAGATGTTCGTAATACCACGGGTGAAACCACGGGGGAAACCAAAGCGGATAGAAACACGGTTTCGGTGTCTTATGCTCCGCCGATGGAGCAAAAAAGAGGGAATGCTCACTGGGTAGAGATTTCCTACCGATTGCAGCACGTTGACTGGCGCTTTTTATAGCCCGTACATCCGCATCCCGTCTATCCCGCATTAAAACTACTCCAGTGATACCGATGATCAACATCATGACAAGAGCTAATAATACCTATGTATAATAATACCTAGGTATTATTCGCTCTTGATTATGATTAAAACGCCAGCAAAACCGCGACATAAGTACCTATAGTTTATTTAATGATATTTTATAAAATATTTCTTTTAAAATATTTTTGACAAGTGGTCAAGTTGTCATTGTCAAGCTGAAAGGGCTAAATGTATAGCTTGATTCGGCAAATAGTTTGATTTGAGAATGACCGCTAGACCGGTTTCCGAGACTGTTGCAAACGTCTTAAAACTATAACGTGGCTTTAACGTGAAAGGTGATCATCTTACCTGAAGCCTGTGCGATAAAGCAGCAGGACACTACCAGCACACTGGCGAAGTGTAGCCAACCGGTCGTATAACACATTCTGGCAGCAGACTTTCGAACTTCCGTGAATTTCTTCTCTTCCTCCCTTTCCGCCTCCTCTTTCTCTTCTAACCTGGATGTCGCCGCGCGCTCTCCGTACGTCGTCTTCCGCTCTCCGGCCTGGCTGTTAGTTTTTCTTGGCTTCGAGTAGTACGACCAACGTTTTCTTCCTACCGCGGCGACCGATGCGGAAGATCTCAGCTAAGCGCACGTCGATATCTTCCCGATTCAGTCAACGGTTGCCCTCGCTCTGGTCGTTTCTGTGCGTGTGTGCTGCGCTCTGCACCGGTGACAGTGATTACGATGCTGCTCTCTTTGTACGTGCGTCGCCCTGGTCGCTCGGTCCGTCGGCCGTCGCTAGCTGTTGCTTTATACCGACTCGCGCACCCTCGCGCACGCCGCCCGTAGGTGTGAGTCGACGGCGGGGAGATGACGGATGGAAGTGACGTCATGCGGGAGTCACGTGACGCGGCGTGGTTTGTCCGCGTATACATGCTGGCGGAATGGTGTAGGAGCGATAGGAAAGGAAAGAGAAAGACACACACACATAGAGAGAGAGAGAGAGAGAGAGAGAGAGAAAGAGAGAGAGAGAGAGAGGGAGAAAGCAAGAGAGAGAAGTCATTTTATTAGCCATTACATTCTACACATACTTTACAGATTAAGATGTGACTTCACTGTGTCTGCACTACGACACAACAATGCTTGATATATCGGTTCGTGGCTTGCCGAGTAATCTACTATTCAATAATTGAGCAATCGCACTCGCAGA